ATATACATACACAGATACATATACATGTACATATACATACTGCTACCAATCATCTCGAAATCTGAGCACCTCAGAAACGAGAACCATCCCTTACTTCAGATGACAAGGATGGAGCATACCCTAAAGGGTTTGGGGTTTAGGGTTTAGGGGTTTGGGTTTAGGGGTTTGGGGGTTTTGGGTTTAGAATTTTAGGGTTTAGGATACCCCGAAAGGCTTCCTTAAAGGGATGTAGAAGGGAATTAGGGGAATACACCTTATGATCATAGGATCCCTAAGATAGTCTAAGACGGTTTAGGGTTTAGGGTTAGGTCTATTCCTTAATGAAGGGAGTTTTGGAGTCTCTGGGAACGAGTCGGCAAGGGGACTGGTCTGTGAGATCTTGCAAAGCTCAAGTCTACGAGTTTGGGCCTTCAGGGTCGAAGGCGCAGGGCTGCCAAGTGACATGGTTTAGGGTTTAGGGCTTGGGGCTTTGGGTTTAAAAGGTTGAGGGTTTCGGGTTTCAAGCGTTTAGGAGTTTGGGGTTTAGGGTTTCGGGTTTAGAAGCTTTAGGAGTCTGGGTGTTAGGGTTTAGGGTAGTACCCACATCCTACAGGTCTTGAAGCTCATGGTGAACACGGCCGAACACACGGCTTGGGGTTTAGGGTTTATGGAGCTCAGTAGACGAGGCACCAGAGACGCTTCATCATCGCGATGCTGTAGAGAAGAAGGGGCCTCAGTTGACTCCGCGTATAACTCTCCAGGTCAAACCTTTAGAAGTAATATTGGGTTATAAAGAACCGGGTCTTTGGGAAAAGTATACTATACTTAACACAAGGAACCCGGAGAAGTAGTGCTGGTGATTTTTGCGACCCCGAACTGTAAGCGCATAGTACTCCTTCTAACCAACCCTGTAGAACCATAAAGACGACCCCTAGGGTTTAGGGTTTAGGGTTTAGAGTTCTGATTGGATGACTTGGCAGGCCACCCGCGCACGGCCACGGCAATGACAGTGTCCACTGTACCGATCAGCCTCACGAGGCCATCTTGTGCTTCTGTTTCTGCGTTCTCCCTCCTCTCAAACCCTGAAACCATACTTGTCAGTAACCCCAAGACTTTAAACGCCCAAACCCAAGAAGCAAAAAAGCGAGTAACCGCCTAAGAGCCCTCGGAGAGAGGCCCTGAAAGGAGAGGCAACCGAGAAGCCAGAGCAGCGGCAGATGAGGAAGGTAAGAGTCGTCGATGGTCCACGCCAACGGGCTCAGAAAGTTCGCTGCAAAGCCCGAAAGGTGCATTCCAAAAACCATCCTTCGGCTGCTCTGGTCTAGGTTCACCATAGGGGCTTTGCTTACAGGATCACTTGCTATAATTGGGTCTACAAAAAAGGGGCTAGTATCAAGGTTCCGTAAGGGTTCAGGGCATTCCGAAGACCATCCTCGGGATTCGGTTTACAGGCCTTGTAGCGCTTCTTGGGATTGGTCCATTATTGGGGATCATAGCGACTATAAGGATTATAATGGTTTGGAGATTAGGGTCGGGTTGAGGGCCTGTGGCATCTTCTACTGGGACCACTGTTGTTTAAGAACTCCCTATGCCCTATTCTTGCGGCCAGGCTGCAGCACGTAAGCATACTCAGTCGAATAGTGCAGATTCATCGGCACACAGTTCACGATGCTGATTGCATGGAGCCCAACCTTACAAGATCTGCACTTCAACTTCCTCTTGCTCTGCAAAGCATCCGGGTTCTCCATAAGCTTACTGCTATAAGGGTTAGAGTAAGGAATACATGCGGATTGCTATAAGGGCTACGATAAGGCTCCCGGCGGTTTGTAGAGGGGTTAGTTGCTATGGTCCTAGAAAGCAGCTCAAGGTTGCGGCCGAGCAGCGAGGTAGGCGAGCAGAGAGAGGGGCATGTGCTTTGGCCCGTCCTGCTGAAAAAAACCCTAAACCCTAAACCCTAAACCCTAAACCCTAAACCCTAGACCCCCCTAAACCCTAAACCGTCTTAAAAGGGGTTTAAGGCTTGGGGCTTAGGGTTGTTATAGGAAAAACCCTAGACCCTAAACCCTAAACCGTCTTAAAAGGGGTTTAAGGCTTGGGGCTTAGGGTTGTTATAGGAACCTGCAGGAATCTTCTCGCAACCCTTAGAGTACCGGTGTTGGGGGCTGTATAGAAAAAGACAGTAAAGTAGCCCCTTACCTCAAACCTTATGGATATACTAAATTTCGAGCAACCCGTGTAGGAACTCCACAACCCCAAGAACCCCCCGACGACCACACATTCACGGCTTCTTCCCACATGTCACGACCATTTGGCTCCCTGGGAACGAATCTCCTCTGCGAGGTGCCGGCGCACGGCAGCAAGAACCTTGCGAACACCAAGCAGTCCCCAAACATCTGATCTGGCTCGCAGTTTCGCAGAGTTCCGGTATGCCTAACCCTTTGCTGTGGGACCATCTTTGCACGCTCTGACTGAACCCTTGGAGAATTCTCACAGAAGCCTGAGAGTTTACAGGACGCGTCATAGTCTCCCGGTTCTCTGCTGCGCTGCAGGCTGCCCTGAACCCTTGTAGAAACCTGGCAGCCACCCTTCTAGTAATCCCTGTATTCTGCCTTATAGGAAGCCTTGTCGTACCCTTTAGAATAACCCTTACAGTAACCTTTACAGTAACCCTTGTAGCAACCCTCAGAGTAACTAGCCCTGGCAGAACCTGAAGGGCCCTGCCTGCGTGAGGCCCAGAGCAGCTGCTAGCAGGGCCGCGTGCCGGATCAGTGCGGCAGACCAGTCCTCAAGGATTTTGGGTCAATGGATCCTGTAGCCTTTCTTTATATTACAAGGTTCCTTGCAGGGATCCTGTTGGGTTCCGCGTGGCAAGGGGAATGAAAGAAGCTTGAGATATGGGCTAGGGCCTCGGGTTCAGGGTTTCGGGTTTAGGGTTTGAGCAGGGTTTAGAGTTTAGGGGTAGAATAGGGGTTTTATGATACCAAAAATCGACTATCCCATGATCCTCCAAGTGGGCCGAGGTTCGTTGCTGACGTTTCGGGTAACCTCGGGCAGGCAAAGAAGCGCACCCAGGAAGTGCCTTGGCAAGGTTGAGGATTTAGGGTTTAGGGTTTAGGGTTTAGGGTGTGTCAGGCGAGGACGCGCGCTCGGGTTTGCAACACCCCGGCGCCTGCGTCGCTTGTCAACCCACCCCGGCCACCCACACTAAACTCTATAAGGGTTGTGGGTGTCTTAGTTTTTTTGCATTATTTCCATTCTTGGGTGATACTAGATTTACTTACCTTTCTGGCTCCCGGAGGTCCTAGGCCCGCGGGAACTGATGAATTCAAGTAGGTTTGGGTTTGGCTGCGGCTGCGGCTGGGAGTAACCTCGGACCCTTTCGGGCCTCCGGCATGGCAGGGCCTGCTCGGCCCTTCAAGCTTTTCGATTGCATGACTGAGGATTTAAGATTTAGGATTTTAGTGTTTAGGTTTAGTATTTAGGATTTAGGATTTAGCATTTAGGGCTTTAAGATTTAGAATTCAGGAAAAAGGATTTGAGGATTTTAGGCTTACACACAAGAAGAAGGACGAGACCTCCACATAGGCACTCGGTCCCATGAAAAGTGGCAATTTATAAGCAGGGCATGATAAGCCCAAACAACCCTAATATTCCGATTCCTAAATCAATCCTAAATCCTACAATTCTAAATCCTCAATTCCTAAACCCTAAATCCCCAAACCTATCAATTCAAGTCGGTTCAGGTTTGGCTGCGGCTGCGGCTGGGAGTAGCCTCGGCCCTTTACGGGCATTCGGCATGACAGGGCTTCCAAACTTCTCGATTGAATGAAATTGGGTTTTTATTGTTCAGTAGTTAGTAATGAACACGACTTGGGGCTACTCTCTAACTACGCCAAAGGTTGTCTGGATACGGCCGGGCCAGCCTTCAATTGAGTTCGGACGTTGTCGTAAGCAGGGCCAAAGTCGTTGGCCTGTCCAGGACAGGCGGAGAGGCTTAACTCTCGCCTTTCCGTCTCTCTTTTTGTATGGGCTCGGCGACGTCAGCGACCCCTCTCTTAGCTTAGGGTTTAGGGGTCAGGTTTAGGGTTTAGGGTCTACCAGTCGAGTCATTGAGAAAGTACATAGCAGATGCTTCCATGGGTCCTAGTTACCCGAAACTGCTGCGTGTCGCATGTCCGTGCATCTACTTCAGACAAGCGCAGATGTGGACTCTGCTCTCATTCTCATTCCAGCACTATCGGAACCTCCATCGTGTCAAGGGGCTGTACTCCAACAACCAGACATGTGCCGCCCAAGTCGTAAGCACCAGCAGAAGAGAGATTTTCCAGCTGTAGGCCTTCCACGGGACGCGGCCAAACTTGGGAAAGCGTCTTTCGGCCTCCTACATTCAATACATCGTCCTTATAAGTGTTTAAGTTTCAAGGCTGAGGGAGTTCAGGGTTTGGGGTTTAGGGCTCAGAACGGAAACCCCAAGCCCTCAACCCTAAACCCTATGCGGCTCAGGGTTTGGGCCCCGGACCGTGCCTGGCGGCGAGTCCCGGCGGATGCCCTCCAAGAAGAAGCTGCTGCCTTCCTGGCTTGGGGTTCCGGGGTCCTTTAAGGGTTTAGGGGTTTAGGGGTTTAGGGTTTAGGGTTTCGGGCCCTTTCAGGGTTTAGGGTGTGGGGTTTCGGGTTTTCTCAAGGCTCCACAACAGGTCTGTTAAAGGCCCTGCATGCGTGATATAGAGGTTCTGTAAAGGTCGAATTCACAGCCAAGAACGGGAAACCAATCTCCGAAGCATCTTAAGCGCTGCTAGACCCTTATCCCCGAACACCCAGCCACCGAAGCTCCAAAAAGCGAAAATCGAAATCCACGGTTTAGGGTTTCGGGTTCCCGAAAGCCAGGCCCTAAAGGAAGCCCTAAGGGAATCCTTACAGGGACCCTACAGCACCCCTTTAACGTCAGCTGCAGTCCCGGCCTTCAAAGTCGCAGAGACCGCCTTCCTCGCCAACAGCGCAGCATTCGCGAGGAGCCTCAGAGGGGTTTATAGGGGTTTTTTAGGGTTTTTACAGTGTTTTTTTACAGGGTTTTTACAGGGTTTCTAAGGGTTTCTAGGGTTTATAGGGGTTTATAGGGTTTCTAGGGCTTATAGGGCTTATAGAGGGTTTTTAAGGAGGAGCCTCGGAGACGTTCTATTATCAAAAAAAAACCGCAAAGGAACCCTTCAGGAACCCTGAAGAACCCAAAAAGGAACCCAAAAGGAACCCCCGCAAAGGAACCCTTAAGAAACCCCTTTGAAAGGACCCCTTCCAAGGAGGCTTTTGAAGGAAGCCTTGAACCCTAGACCAGGTCACGTCAGGAGCAGCAGCTCGGCCAGTTGGCCAGGCAGCGAAGGCTCCGCCATGCTTGGCAAGGTCCCTTCCGGGACCCTTGAGGCTAAGGGGTTAGGGTTCTTAGGGCTCTCAGGGCTCTTAGGGTTTATCGGGTTTATAGGGTTTATAGGGTTGTTAGGGTTTTCAGGGTTTTTAGGGTTTTTAGGGTTTATAGGGCTTGTAGGGCTTGTAGGGCTTGTAGGGTGTAGAGTTTAGGCTTGGGGTGCTCCGAGAAGGGCTGCTTTAAGGGGCACTATCGGGTGTACCATAAGGGGTTTAAGGTTTAGGGCGTGGAGATAAGGGGTACCATAGGGGTGACTATAAGGGCCACTAGAAGTTAACCCTAAACCCTAAACCCTAAACCCTAAAGGGCTACTAGGTGTGACTATGAGGTTTCTGTGAAGGCGCAGGTTCTTTACAGCCTGGGGTGGTGGGATGTTTGGGGCTTCCTTGCCTCATGCAGGCTTAGGGTTTACGGTTCAGGGTTTAGGGTTTAGGGTTCAGGGCTTAGGGTTTAGGGTTTAGGGTTTAGGGTGTAGGGTTTAGTTTGTTTTTTTTTTAAGGGCCTTTTGACGTCTGCCATGCTGCGCAAAGCATCCCTCACCCTATTGGGCAGGCATTCGGTCCTTGTTCGTGGACCCTGGTTCTCCCTAAGGATTAGGGTTTAGGGTTGGGTTCAGGGTTTAGGGTTTAGGGTTTAGGGTTTAGGGTTTAGGGCTTAGGGTAGTATAAGATAATCCAAAGCCTACCCCTCATTATTGATCAGCTGCGCGAGGGAAGAGAGCTTCCATGGTTCACTTCAGGGGCAGATCTAAGAGCAGTGCCCCTGTCCGCTTCGACCATCCTCGGGGTTTAGGGTTTAGGGGTATATTCTATCTTGGGGTTTAGGGCTTAGAATTTGGGGTTTAGGGGTTTAGGTTTTAGGGGTTTAGGGTTTTGGGTTTAGGGGCATATTCTGTCTTGGTACCCCTCTTTTTCGCCGGCGGTTGACTCTTTGCAACACTCTAGAGGCTCTTTGACACTTTGCAATTGCTTGGTGTTTGGTGTGCATTTTGCACAACAGGCATGGAGACATACAGCTCACAGCGAATTACCTGAACTCAGAAAGTGCCAGCCGTTTCAGCCAGAAGCCTGACCTAAACCCTAAACCCTAAACCCTAAACCCTAAACCGTGCCCAACTGGACTTCCTGCAGCTTCGATCCGCAACCCTAAACCTCAGGCCCTAGTCTGCCTACACCTCAGAAGACCTGCTGCAGTTGGGATTCCGGCTGTAGTGACGCCGCTTCTCAAACCCTAAACTCGACCATGATATGCTCAGAATGTACCCTTCCAGTATCCTTATAAAGTAGCCCTTATAGTGCGGGCCCTTCTGGCCGTCCTCATAGCCATCCCCCCCATAGTACCCCTGATGGTAAACTCTTTGTCCCCTTTTAGAAAGCCCTTCTAGTCGCCCTTGCAGCAACCCTAAACCCTAAACCCTAAACCCTAAACCCCTAAACCCTAAACCCTAAACCCCTAAAACCCCCAAAGCAGAAAGCTTCCGATACTCTGCACCTGCCTGCGCCGGCATCAGAAGCACTTCAGGGAGATGCTCTCACCGGACCAGAAGGCCTCCAGCCAGGCGACGGAAGGTCTGGGGTTTTAGGGGTTTTAGGGGTTTTAGGGGTTTTAGGGTTTTAGGGGTTTTAGGGTTTAGGGTTTAGGGGTTAGGGGTTTAGGGGTTTAGGAGGTTAGGGGCTTAGGGGTTTAGGAGTTTAGCCCCAGGCGACGGAAGAGCTTATTAGGATCTGGGGTTTCGGGTTCAGGACTCAGGGAGCCTGTTGGGGCACTTTTGGGGGGGGCGCCTACAATAAGGTTTGCTTGGTGGCTTACTGCTATAACGGTTCTATGTAAGAGTTATCAGGGCACCTGTCGGAGGTGTACTGCAAGAGTGACGATGAAGCTTTGCGTTAAGGCCTACTACTACAGGGTTACTGCGAGGTTACTATGGGGGGGGCATTTTGAAGGGTTACCCTAAGGTTGCTATAAGGGGGCACCATACGGGATACTCGATTACCTTGGAGACTGTGTGGCGTTTTCGAAATGTCGTGCCATCGTGCTGGCTCTTCAGACCGGACTCGTCGCTTGGAAGACGACGTGGTTTAGGGTTCAGGGTTTAGGGTTTAGGGTTCATGGTTTAGGGTTTAGGGTTTAGGGTCCCTAGTAGATGTGGCGCTCAACACATGCTTTTTCTGGCGGTCCCGCAAGACCCCAAGAACACTCTTCTCCCTAGTCCCCAGAGAACTCAGCACCTCTTAATTCAGGAATATGCCTTAAATTATAGGGGCCTTTTATGTTAAGATCTAAGGTATATTCCTTAATTCAGGGGCATTGGGTTCACTGGGTCATGGATCAATGAGGGCAGGGGAGCTCCCGAGGACGAACATCCTCCCCACAGACATTCGGGTAGTTCTCTAAATTAGGGTCCCTTATGTTTAGGGTTTAGGGTTTAGGGTTTAGGTCCCAAAGATAGTACGGCATCCTTGTAGAAAGCACCCGACAGGGACCCTACTACCCAAATCCTCAGCCGAAAGGGCTCTTTTTTGAAGCGCGTGACTTCTGCTATGCTAAGACCCCGAGTTTCGGACATTGACAGAAAGCCCCTAAAACCTAGGCCCTAAGCCCGAAACGCTAAACCCTAAGCCGTATAAGTCATTATATTATATTATGTTATATTATAATATACAATAATAATACCATATATAGTATTAATATATCGTCCTACGGCGTCTCTGAAAATGGTCACCCTACGCCGACGAAAGCGCCTGCTGCTCTCGCCAGCCAGCTACATGCCGTTGGCAGAACCTGGAATTCAGGGTTTAGGGCTTAGGGGCGCAAGAAGTGCCCCAAGAGTGAGCAGGAATTCAGGGTTTAGGGTTTAGGGGCTAGAAGTGCCCCACGAGTGAGCAGAAGCTCTGCTTCTGAGAAGCCTTGCGCAAAGAGAAAAAAATCAGCAGCATCCCTAAACCCTAAACCCTAAACCCATTGCGCAGCAAACATGCCGGTGCTTCGCTTGCATCGGCTTGACGACATCCTCTCCTCGGACTGGAAACCCCCCACAGATAGGGTTGATAGGGTTTAGGGGTTTCGGGGTTCAGGGTTTAGGGTTTAGGGTTTGGGGTTTAGGGTTTAGGGGTAGAGTAATTCTTAGAGTAAGCCTCACGGTAACCCTTCTCGTGAGTCGTAAGCCTTATAGTACCCCCCCTCATAATAATCCGGCCAATAATCCATACCCCGTACCATAAGCCGAAAAGTCTTCTAGTACCCTTTACGATACCCCCTCAGCGACGACCTTTCAAGAACCCTAAACCCTAAACCCTAAACCCTTGAATGACTCTCTCAGGGTGCCAGGACAGCGATCCTACCTCAAGATGTATCCCTGAGGAACTAAGGCTAACCTTTCTGAGGTTATTGGGATTATATAGGGATTATATGGTACCCCAAAAAGTAACCTTGCTGAGGATTATATAGGGATTGTATGGTACCCCAAAAAGTAACCTTTCTGAGGTTATTGGGATTATATTGGGATTATATGGTACCCCAAAAAAGTTAAAGGTTACCTACTCTACCACTAGGGAGCTCCCTTTCGGAGCTCCTCTGATACGGGAAGCTTCCCCTTGAGGGCTCCTTGTTTAAGTGTTCATGTTGAGGGGTTCCTTTAAGGGCTCCTTAAAGGGTTGTTCTGAAGGATTCCTCTTGAGATCTCTTGAGGCTTCCTAGAAGGGGGGGTACCACGAGGTTCCCATTAAGTCAGGGTTCCTGTAGGGGTTGCTACAAGGGTTACTGTCAGGGCTCCTGCAACGGCTACTACAGGGGTGACTATAAGGGTTACCCTAGCCTCCCTAAAACGGCTACAACGAGGTCACTGTAATGACCACTTATAAGGATGCTATAACCCTAAACCCTAAACCCTAAACCCTAGGCCCTAAACCCTAGACCCTAAACCCAACCCTAGACCCTAAACCCTAAACCCTAGACCCTAAACCCTAAACCCTAAACGGGAAACGGTTACACTCTTGAGATCCCAGGTGGCCGAGTGCCCCGCGCAAGCTCCAATGGTTGTGGGAGGCGTGAGGTGGGAAAACGCCCTGCAGATGCGTCAACATTACAAAGCTCCTTCATCATAGGGACCCTTAGGCCGGGCAGGGGGGAGGGGGGTTGGGGGACTATAGTTCCTTAAA